CCCCAGCCCTCTCTGGGCAGCGTGGGCGGCAGGCCCGGCCCAGGACCCACCTTCCTCTTGAGGACGCTGAGCTTCTCCACCACGCCATCCAGAAGGCTGACCACGGAGTCCACGGCAGGGCAGCTGCTCAGGGTCTTCTCCAGCTCGGCCACCACCATGGTGACGTGGCTGGTCTCACGGTCGATGTTCTTCTGAGCAGCTCGGAAGCGTTTGTTCAGTGTTTCATAAGGCACCTGGGGGAGAGAGGGCGCTGAGACCACCAGTGCCATGGGCACCTCCTTAGGGTTCTGGTTCTCTGACCCTGAGACCCGAAAGGAGTGAAAGACGGCATGAATGGAGGGAGGGTCCCTTGGGTTCCTGAACGCACAGACCAACGCAAAAAAGCAAACTGCCCCGGCCGGGTGGCTCAGTTGGTTGGAGCGGCATCCTGTTGCCAAAAGGTTGCCAGTTCAACCCTCAGTCGAGGTGCATATGGGAGGCACCCGATTAGTCTTTCTTCTTCTCTGTCCTTTCCTCTCTCTCTAAATTCAATAAACCGTATCCTTGGGTGAGAATAAAAAAATTTAAAAAGCAAACCGTCCCCAAACCCACAGAGCTGACAAAAACAGGGGAGATGCCACGGCCAGCTTCCCAGCAGGGCCCGGGTGTCCAAAGAGGAAGAGGAGACGCGGGATTCCACCTCCAGGCTGTCAGCAGTGCCCAGGCCCGCGGTTTACACCCTACGGTCAGAGTCAGACTGACTGTTTACCAGGTGATGAAGAAACCACGCAGGTGGGCCCGAGGCCGTGTCCACAGACACAGCGCTGCCCCCCCCTGGGGTCACGGCACCATCACGCTCCTACAGCCGCAAACACTCCTCCTCAGCGCCCTGCTCTGGGCCGAGCCAGCCCCTACACCTCCACTCACTCACCTCCAAGTGGCCCTGACCCGGACTTCCTGCCCCACCCCTCCCACGCAGGGACTGGTTCCTTCAGGCTCCACCTTTGGCCACCCCACCCTCCCCACAGTCTGGCCAGAGCCCAGGACCTTGGGTGTGTCCAAGGTCAGGGGTGTGGCTGGCCCCGCCCCCGCAGGAGCTCCTGGAGTTGGCCTCCCCGGGCTGGGTGGCTGCTGAGCCACGTGTCGGCCGCTCCTGCCAGCTGCTCCTCAGCCTCCACCCAGGCACCCAGCCCAGCCGCTCCTGCCCTCCCACAGCCACCCTGCGGTTTGGTCCCACAGCTCCTTGCCTGGCTCCTCCTTCCCAAAGGGCTTTTGCCAAATGAAAAAAATGGAATTTCAGAGACGCTGAGGATTCCGACCACAGCAAACTATCACTGAGAGCGAGGGGAAGGAGGGCAGTGCAGGTGCTCGGGGACGCCAGGGTTAGCACCCACCACCCCGGGAGGAAGATGACTAAGAGGAAGGCCTCAGCCCAGCAAACACACAGTCAACGAGGTAACACAACGGAGCAATGAACAGCAGTGAAGGAAGAGACCAATGAAAGACAGTCAGGCTAAAAGAAATGTAGTGGCCTGACAGGGAAAACATCCTGCCTAAGTAAACGTGGATAACATGGCTAGAAGTGAAACAGGCTTTGGGAGAATTCAAACTAGAAGTAATAAAAATGTATCCCTAAGAGCACAGGCAACACAATCAAAAGTAGCCAATGGGACCTCTCGAACTGAAACTGAAACAACAGGAGGCCGAGAGGGAAGCAGCCCAGACTACGCAGAGAACTCCTACAGCGCAACAAAACCCCGCAACAAAACCCCGGCAGGTCCTCCACAGACACTTCAGTCCCAGGCAACACGCACGTGAGAGGCGCTCAGTGTCACTCCAGGGAGGGGCGTTGAATCCAGAGACCAGTTCACGCCACTAGGACGGCCCCAACACAGAACCAAGTGCTGGCGGGACGCGCCCGGACCCTGCAGACTGTGGGGGGGCGGTGATGGTGCAGCCGCTGGGGAAACACGGCATGACCGGCACCCCCACTTGCAGGGACAGAAAAGGGAACAGGGCACCAACCCAGCCTCAGAGCAAAGATCCTGTTTCCAACCGGTTGTTGGTCTAACTGTGGATGGGACACCGGGGGCACCAAGGGCCAACTGTGGATTCATGGGAAACATTCCCGGTGAGTGCCCGGTGCAGTCCACCCGCGGCTGTCGGAGGGTCCACCGTGCCCCTCAGCGAGGCCTCTGCAGCCCCTGCACGAGCGCTGAGAAATGAGAGAGCCTGAGTGTCCAGCGATGGATGAAGGGCTCAAGAAAATGTGGTCTGGCCTGGCCGGTGGCTCAGTGGTTAGTGTTGGCCCTCGGACCGAAGGGTCTTGGGTTTGATTCCCAGTCAAGGGCATGTACCTGGGCTGCAGGTTCGCTCCCACCCCCGGTGGGGGCATGTACAGGAGGCAACCAGTCAGTATGTCTCTCACACCGATGTTTCTCCCCCACCTCCTCCTTCCCTTCCACTATCTGAAAAAAGCAATGGAAAACCATTCTCTGTTGAGGATTAACAGCAACAAAAAAGACAACAGGCTCTACACACAGTAGCTGTCGTTCAGCTGTAACAGGCAGACACCCTGCCAGGGGCTGCAACGCGAGGAACCTGGAGAACATGGCACTAACGAGCTAGGCCAGGGGTGGGCAAACTTTTTGACTCAAGGGCCACAATGGGTTCTTAAACTGGACCGGAGGGCCGGAACAAAAGCATGGATGGAGTGTTTGTGTGAACTAATATAAATTCAAAGTAAACATCATTACATAAAAGGGTACGGTCTTTTTTTTTTTTTTTTAGTTTTATTCATTTCAAACGGGCCGTAGTTTGCCCACAGCTGAGCTAGGCCCTGTAGCCAGCCCATGTCCACGAAGTCCTAGAGCTACTCACATCCAAACGGAAAGGGAGATGGTGGGTGCTGGGCCGCTGAGGGTTGGGGAGCTGTTGTCCAATGGTGCCATGGCCCAGGATGCCCCCATAATTCCAGCTGAAATCCTAGCCCCGACAAGATGGGGCCTCTGGGAGGCGGTAAGACACGAGGGTGCAGCCTCATGAATGGACGAGTGCCCTTAGCAGGGTCCCGAGGGCGCTCACTCTCCGCCCAGCCGGCCGCCTGCAGCTGGAAGTGGCCTCCCCAGAACCAACCACGCTGCACCCCCACCTGGACTTCCAGACCCCAAACTGTGGCCTGTCTCTGGTAGTGGCCGCAGCCTGCGCCGCTCACACCACTGTTTTGGCTATTCTGGGTCCCTGCATTTCCCTAAGAATTTCAGGATTGCCTTGTCAATTTCTGCAACAGAACCAGCTACAATTTTCTTATGGCTTGTGCTGAATCTGTAGATCAATTTGGAAAGTATTGCTATTTTAATAGTAAGACTTATTCCTAAATATTTCATTCTCGGTTTCCTTTTTGATTTTCATCTCTCAGGTATAGAAATGTCTCATGTGCGGACTCTGTATCCTGCTTGTTGGTTCTAGTAGGTGTGCATTCCTGGGAATCTTCCACGTACAAGAGCAGTTCACCTGCGGATAGCTTTGCGGTTCCTTTTCGACCTGACCAGACCCTCGGGGCGTGGCACAGCAGTGGCGAGAGGGACCCCGTCGGTGCCTGATCTCAGGGAGTCGTGGTGCCGTGTGGGTTTTCACAGACCCCCCTGACCAGGCTGAGGAGTGTTTCCGTCCTCGGAAGGTGAATTCCGCGAGTCCGTTTGCCCAGTGAACCAGCCGTGCATTCCTGTGGCGAACCGGCCGGACCTGATGTCCTCGCTGTGCTGACGACGACTGGCACCTGTCTCTCCTCTCGTGGAAACGGCCGCCGTGGCCTGAGCTGCCTGTCTGCTCTGGTGTCGGGAGACTGACTTCACGGGACAGGCTTCCTGTCTCAGGACCACACCAGCCCTCTAGGCACGGACACATTCACCGGGAGCCCCGGCCCTGCTTCTCCTCAGGGAGAGCCTCCTGGGAATCGCTACGTTACAGGCCTGTTCAGTCATCACTGTCTAACCTACAAAATAGCAATTTTATACAATTCACTCCAACACAATTCCCGTCTGTGCCTGTGTCCGACTCCCCAGGAGAGAGTCTTGGGTCTTTCTCCCAATGGCAATCAGCTCTTCAAGGTTCATATTTGGTGAGTTTTTACAGTTTGTTATTTGCTTTAAATTCTGATTTTATCTCACCTGCTAACCCAGAGACTTAAGTCTGTCTGACCGAGACCTGCGCGGCTTTTCCTGGGTAACTGGTTGCGTTTCAGCCTTGAAGACCGTGGGCTCTCTCCAGCCGCTGCCCGCCCCCCGCGGCTCAAGAAGAAGCCCTCCTGTCTTCATACTGAAGCGGGTCCTGGCAAATGCGCGGCTGAGACCTGTGCTCCCACCAGCCGCACGCCCCTCCCTCGTCGGCAGTGTTCGCGGTGGCTCTCGGACAGTATTTGCTGACAAAGACATGCATTTCACTTGTCATCACAAGGTCTTCGGCCATTTCTACCAGCACAGGAAGGAAGGATTTCCCCAAAGGCACGAGGCCTTTTATCTCTCACGATTGAGAAACCTCGGAAGAGGTTTCTGAACATTTGTCACAAAGCCGCAGACATCTCCTAAGGTGCCGGCGTGGGCCCGCAGGCAGGACGCACCCGGAGCCCTGGAGAGCGGCCTGTTCCGGTGCGTGCTGCCCCGAGCTGACCTTCCCGAGCGGGCACCCCCACAGCAGCGGTTCAGACCCCCGTGTTCAACAGGCTCTGCTCAGTCTCCGCGGGGAGTGATGAGACCAGTGCAGAAGGCGAGCGGTCAGCACCGCGCCCTCCCCTCTCGGCACCGCCCGCTGGTCACCTCAGAATCTTGCTGCGGCGGGTCCTTTCCAGAAAGGGCACCGAAGTAAAACACCAGCTGCATCTCCGAGTCAGCGGTCGTGCCCAGCAGCATGGCGCCCACCACTGCCGCCGCGGGCAGGGCCAGGCCGCCCCCAGCAGCCCCCCGCCCCAGCCAGATCCAATACAAACCCCATGGGCACCCATGTCAGTGGCGTAAGTAACACCAGCACAGCTGACTTCCTCACTTTAAAAAGTGTTTACTGATTTTAGAGAGAGAGAGAGAGAGAGAGAAACATGGATGAGAGAGAACCTTTGATCAGCTGCCTCCACGTGCCCCTTTCTGGGGAATCACGTCTGCAACCCAGGCACGTGCCCTGACCCGGACTCAAACTGGCGACCTCTCGGCACAGGACAAAGCCCAGGCAACCGAGACACCCGGCCAGGCACTGCCTCCTTCTT